AGAGTCCTGGGAGCTAGATGGTTCTTGCGACTCTTGTTCCTTACCGACGGTCGGGGAGTCTTGGGAACCTTCGCCTTTACTTGCTATTGTGGATCCAGCTGAGGCTCGCGCAGAGCGCGTCGAGAAGCGGCCCTTCTTACCCGGGCCCAGGCCGAGGCTCGTCGACAAGCCTACCTTTTCCTCGATCTCGTCAATGTTCTGAGTGTAACAGCGGACAAGTTTGTTTGTGTTGCGGAGGTGTGAAATGAACTCGTGGCTTCTGGTCGGGACAACCTCTCTGACTTTTTGTCGGAGAGTCGTTGCAAAGGTGTAGAAAACGGAGGTCTTGACGGGATCGGCCCAAATGGAGGCGTCAAATAAGTCACGGCCCTTCATCACGGGAAGAGTGCTTCGGTTGCTTGCAAAGGATGACTGGCTGGAGAGAGTAGGCTGCGAGGAGCTGGCTGTGTCTTCAGAATCTGACTCTGCATCTGAAGAACAAGTAGACGCAGCAACAGACGAGTTGCTGGACGAGGAGCCTGGCGATCTCGCTAAGTGGGACTGAAAGTCCTCGGAGGGGTCGAAAAGTATCGAGGGTGGGGAGGAGAGTGGTGACGAGCTTTGCAGGAATGGACCAAGACACTCAATGGAATCACCGACGACTGCAGGGTGAGAACGGCCTCTTCTTTGCGGTGTCATCAGCGACTGTGCATACTTCTTAGGGTCGAGAGCCGGCAGCTGGACCACAATGGACCCCTCCTCGCCATCAGTCGCTTCCTGTGGCGTGCGGTTTGTCGTGTCTTGTTCGGGTTGCGAGGCATTTTGGCTCTTCCGTCCACGCGGCCTGCCTCGCCGTCTACTCGTCATAGACGCGTCTGGGGTTTCTATTGCCAATGCTTGTTCAACTGTCACGTTACTATCCTGCCGGTCCTCAGACCGCCTCTGCCGTTTGTTCGTCGGCTCAGTCTCGTCGTCTTCAATCGTTTCCATTCCAGGTTCGTTGAACTCTTTCGATGCGGCGTCGAACTGGGCCTGGATCAATGAATAGAGTCCATTTTTGGATCGGAAATCCTAAGTCGGGGCAGTTAGCCAGTGGCCGAGAAAAACATGTAAGTCAATATAATTGGGGGGCGCAAAACATACTGGAATACCCGAGTTGGTGCTGATCCCGGCACCGGTCACCACCAGCACCTTCTTCGCCTTCCAGAGGGCATCTGCAATGTCCTGCAGAAGCTCGGTCGATTCCGGCAACACGTGGCTGGTCGGCATATTGGCGTCGTAAGTATACCGAGGAGTCAGGGCGCGTCAGAAAGTTGAGGATCTGAAAACTGAACGCGTTTATTCGAACATCGCGAGGCTTGATGTGGCAAGAAAAACGCGATATGTGCTGGAGCGGTATGGGTGATATGAAGAGAAGGAAGAAACAAATCAGTAGTCCAAGATCCGCCGAACGAAGATTTAGTCGCGCCCAAAAGTATGGCAAGGTTGTGATTGTCGCGCTGCCGAAAAAGTCCTCCGCGAAGCTCAGTCTCCGAGACGCGCCGTATGTACCGTCTCGCGCGTGTATTGACCGGAACCTTGTAGACGAGGGTAATAGCAATCTTTCCAGTCAGTCGCAGGGCCTTGGAGATATGTTATGTCGTTTGCAAACTATCCAAACACGCGCCAAGTTGTGTATCTTCTGTCGCTTCTGTGTTGTCTGCAGTGGTCGTGGCTGTCGGACAATTGCACGACTTCGCAATGTCAATAAAGAAAAGAATGGCGGGAGTTACAGCTTAGCCAGAGCGCGTTTAGCTTGCTTGTCAGGGATAAGGGCAGCGATCAGCGGCGCGGTGTGCAGGGGTGACGGCAACCACTGATGTCGGGGCGCATGTGCAAGCGTTTAGGTGAACCAAATGAGGCAACGAAGAAAAGTAAAGGATCGTGAGAATTAAGAGGCGGAATTGCAGTTGGTAATTAAGACAAGAAGAAGAAGGGCAGCGGCATTCAATCCAATGGAGAAGGAGCGAGGTGCTAAATCAGCGACTATCAACACTCAGCGTTCGCTTCACCAGTCGCGCTTGCCTTTCATGGGGAAGCTTGGACAGCGACGCCTGACTCCACATACGCGGGCCAATGACAGCGCCTAGTTCCGAGAAAGACAGGACAGTGTGCCTTTGACAGTGTGCAAAGCTAGTAACGGAAGAAACGTACGTACGAATATGTTTATGATGATGGAGCAAACTACAATCCTAAAGTGAAGTGGGATTATTGCACCCGGTTCGCGTAAAATGAGTCGTGTGAGTTTCGGCGCGAAGACACCAAGGCAAGATTGATATATGGGGTTTGTTGGCATTTGCTCGTATATTACACGACTTTATGAGGTAACCTTCAGCTACCATTCATCGTAATGTTTTTATTTATTGAGAACACTTACTATTTCTTCAAAGATATCATTTAATAGAAGAATCAGTCTCAGTGGCATGGCTTTACCTCCTCGTGGACGATGCTGACGATGCCATGTTTAGTCGGCTGTTAGCCAGCTAATTTCTGACCAATCAGGTGTTACTATAGCCAAACAAAGTCAACAAAGCGCTCACAACTTTTATTATTCTGCCCACCTACTTTTCTCTCTGTTTTTTTATCAATCCCGTCTCTCACGTTTTCTTCCCCTCACTCTCTTCGGGATTTTCGGCAAAGTCTGCATCTCAATACCCTGTATTATCCCAAAGGACCGTGCCGCTCTGTCAGTAGCCGCGCTGTTTGAGACGATTGTGTTTGATGTGCGTTCAAAAACCCCTTGTTAACTGTGCAACCGTCCGTGTTCTACCACGTCGACGTCGTAACATCGTGCTTGCGATTCAGACATTGGTCTCATTTGCCCACGATTATCGTAGGAAAGTGCGCATCTACGGTCTGAGTGCAAAAATGCCTTTCTCGGAGTTTTGACGTCACTGTAATTCCCTCGTTCTCAAAAATAATACGTGCATATTTAAAAATTTAAAAGAACCAGAATGAATAAATAAAAACAGAAAGGAAAAGAAAAAGTGAAGAACGACACACCTAATGAAACCAACCTCAAATGTTCTTACCCATGCAACATATGTACCGAAAAGACATTTTTTAATTGATCTTATTCTCGCATTTCATAGAAAAGGTCGTGAGCAAGGAAACACGCCTGACTCGCGGTCAGGTGGTCGGATGGATGTCGGTCCCCCAGGATCATGGTTTTGTTTGAGCGAGTGCCAAGCTTTGCATGAAGCAGAAGACTACCGTTTCCAACGATGACCTCAAACGTCTCCGCTCTGTAGAAATAACAGAGAGAGGACGCAAGACAAGCGAACAAAAGACCCGAGGGAAAGGGGAAATAAGAGCCTAAGAAATTTAGTCCCAGTTGACCTCTGAACGGCTCACGATGATTCTGCCTCGCCGTGGTAAGATCGAACATATATAATGTAGAAGGGGACACGAATATTCTCTTTCTCTGTTGTGTCTCCTTCTCTTCTCCGTACCTTCCATCACTGGTTGATTACGTCCTTTTGATACCCTCTTTTTTTCCGTTTCTGTTTCGGCTGGTCCAACTGTTTTTATATTTGAAAAAGAAACAAGAAAATAAACGACAAAATGATGTATTCCCTTTCAATCGCCTTCCTGGCCTTGCCCCTAGTGGCATCTGCACAGAAGTGCACAATTCAGTTTGATGGCCGCGTACCTTCGACTTTCACGGCAGCTTCCTTCGACACGAACAACAACCTGTTCAGCCCGAGCAATGTATTCGGCCAAGGTGAGCACCATCGAGAGGTGACTCTCCTCTCAGCGATGCGATACAGCTTCTAACAAAATTGCGCGCAGGCCTCAAGTTCAGCCAGCTCATCCAACTGCCTGCTGTGACGGGTTCGCTCGTATGTCCCTTACCTCTTCTTTTCTTACAAATTTTTTTTTTTGCTAACAACTCTAGTTTGACGTCAACACCGTCCCGGCCGAGGTCACCATTAGGTCCGCCCAGTCCCTTGCTTCTTCCTTCCCGTCCACCCCGTTCGCCTACATGCCCGTCCTGGCGACCCCGCCAGCAACCTCTTCATCTTCTCCTCCTCCTCTACTTCGTTCCCACTCTACTCTCGTGGACGTCATCGCTGATCCACAACTCGCAGCGACAAGTCCATCTTCGCCCCCAGCGCCGACAACGTCCAGACCGGCTTTCGCCGCGCTGAACTCCTCCCGGCCAGCAACTCCGGCACCGATCCGTCCACTCAGGGGGTCAAGACTCTGCACTTTAGCGTGATGCAGGACGCCCAGAGGCCTCTCAACCTGACGCACGAGTACCAGCTCGTCTTCCTCGAGAGCAACGACTTTAGCACCAACCAGCTTGTGCTCAAGGCGGGAACTGTGCTGGGCCAGGCCGGCAACGTGGATCCCAACACCCTTCAGCTGTTTGGCAACGTCAACTCCAACCCGCCGCAGGTGCTCTTCAGCACGCCATTCACGCCCGGTGTCTTCCACAACTTTGCCGTGACGCTCGACTTCAACAAGCTGACGTCGCAAGTCTTTTTCTCGACGGGTACGACGGCACTCAAGTCGGTTACGCAGGCGCTGGCTAACGACGTCAGTGGCCAGGGCCAGTTCCACTTTGGCGTGCTCAAGAAGCCTGTGAACCCGGGTGCAGATATCGTGCACAGCGGCACACAAGAGCCTGGCATCAATGAGGGCGTCATCTTCGGCGGCATTTTCGAGGAGGATAGCTCAACAGGTTGCGTCAGCCTCTCTCCATAGGCTTATGTGGCAAGTTACATAAGGATAGATTTGTAAAACGGTGATAATTACTCCCCGTCGAAGTAGTACCAAGCCCTCTTTGGGATATCCTTCTCGCTGATCAGATGATTATAAGCGTAGTAAATATGTAAAAAAAAAAAAACCAATGGAAAAAAGAAGAATTGAAGCAAAGGGCTTCTTATGTGCCCCGTACATGGAGCGTTAAAAAATACAGACAAGACATGGTGGCGCCACATTGGCATAGCGGCTCCGGCGCTTCTTTCACTATTCGTTCAGACTTCCAAAAGTGCAGCCGAGAACTTGTCAAAATCGTTTGGCACACCAAGGCCGGTCACTGCGTCCCACCCGGTTGCAGCTGGCCAACCAGTCGGCCACACAGTCCGGTTGAACGGCATGCATCCCTTGCTAATACCAAAGGTAACATCCTCCAGTATACTCTGCACCCGAGGCGAATACAGTGCTCCATTAAGCCAGCCCAGCGGCGACTTTCCCGCTTTCAGCCTCCGATCATTGGCCAAAGCTACCATCGCCGCCACAACAGGTGTGCTGGCACTGGTGCCGGTTGCCATTGATGGCACGCCGCCCCATGTGACGGCAAAATTTGACCCGATGACAGATATATCAGGTACACCTCGCCCGTAACGGTTGAAGAGCCCGGCTTTGCTATCACCAAAGCGGCCTAGATACGTATTGACAGTATCGTTCTGCCATGCCGGACGGGGAAAATAGTTGCTAAAGCCACCGGAGCTGTATTCGGCGCCAATCGCCGGTGGGACGGCGCCAGGCCCCCAAATGCCAATCTCGGTCGAGCCCACAGCCGTAACCCACGGACAGGACGCGGGAAATGTTGGCTGCAACGGATGTTTGTTAGAGCCATCGCCATGAATGCAAGAATCGCTGATTCCATGGCTGCCGCCGTCGCCCGTGGCCACGAGAACGGTAGTTCCGCGGGCCGCCAGCTGCATGAATAACTGACATACACGCGTTGCGTATGGCTGCGGCACAGTTTGCTCATCGTCACTGTAAGATATAGACAGCACGTGTGGTATGGTGTCCGCCGGTTGGGCAATTAGGAATTCGAGCAAGTCGAGGTACGGTTCGTTGTTCGAATGCCTTGGGTCTCGCCGGCTGCCAGCCGGATTGATCTTATCGGCGACGCCACCGGTGCTGTAGAATATGATTTGTGACGGGTAGCCTAGCGCCATAGCGTACTCGACATCCAACGATGCCTCCATGCCAGCGAGGAATCTCGGCATCTGAATGTTCGCCCCGTTGTTTACATTCACTGTGGTGAAGTTGTAAACCGGGTTGCCGGGGCCCGGAAAGCCAATGCTTGGGGCGGAAAACTGGAGAAACTCGGCAACATCTTGGTGGTTGACGTATTCGGATAAGAAGCCGGCGATGCCAAATCGCACCAGCGAGCGTCCGTCGGGTGTTGACGGTGTTGACAGTGTTGATGGTGTTGACGTTGACGGCGTTGACGTCGATGAAATTGTGGTGGGCGGCTTGGTAGGCGAAGATGACTGTATAAATGCCGATGTTACCGTTTTGGAAGACAATTGAAACGGATCAAATGGAACCGGCTTCCCAGGTTCCAATGATACTCCTATGTTTAATGCTGACGTTGTAGTTTCTGAGTCTGGAGAGACTCCAGATGCTGCAGTTCTTGCAGCTCTGACGAACCGGCCCGTTGGTGCGGGAATTGAACGAGTAGTGGGTATTATCCACGGTGCAGGTGGAATGGTAAAGTTGAATTTCGTAGGTCCAGGATGGCCGGGCAGCGACCAGTTGTACATTTGGCGAATGCAAGCCGGCGTCACCAGGTTGGGTATACAGGCCATGAACGGGGACCAAAGTGGATAGGTCCCGTTCCAATGGCCGAGGCCTGGTCCAGGGCCATCCCATCCTGGGTTACCCCGACCTCCCCAAGGACCACCGGCGTTTCCGCCACCGGGAGCACCTCCGGGGCCGCTACCACCATTGTTGCCAGGGCCGCCTCCTGCCCCACTGCCTGAGCCTTTTGTTTGTCTCCTTTCCATCCTTGTGAGCCTCTTACCAGGCCGTGCATCTTGTGCCAGTCGCGTCTTAGGAAGTCGACGAGCGTCTGCTGGCGGCATGAACTGGGCCAGTGGAAAGACGAAGTCCACATAATCGGCCAGAGACTTTGGGATGGAGTACGACTGTGCGCGCAGAACGGGCGTTGTGCTGTTCCTGTAGGTATAGTAGGATATGTTGGCCTCGAATAATGCTTGTATAATGTCGACGGTAGCATTGAACCTCACCCACGCCCCTTCTACAATTGTGTCATTGACACCGCTGTCGGCTAGCCAGCCCAGGACGTGGTCGACAGCGTATTTGTGTGGTGCTTGGTAGGTTGCAAGTTGTGCGAGTGAAAGGTGTGTAGACGATGAGGTTGGGCGACCGATCTGTTGTAGCATGTACGCCTCGAGTTCTCCCAACTTGGGCTGCGCAAGTGCAATGGAAACACTGAGCGTCTCTTGTAATGGTGCGCCGGCCTCGATCCGCCATCCGTCTGGAAGCGTCTGGTTGTGTTCAAGGACGACGGTGGCTCGCCCGCGTGCGAACGGCGTGAGAAGGGACCCGACGAGGGCAGCTAAGAGAGAAACGCGCATGCTCTCACTTTTGGCTTTAAGGTACAAAAAAGAGGAAATGAGGCATTCTGTATGGCAAGAGGTTCGTAATGGAATGACGGGGAAGGCGGACCAAATAACAGAGAAAATAAATAGGAATAAAATTATGTTAAAAATAGTAGTCGATGAGTGAAGGGCGTTGTCTCAGGAGCTGGTGAGTAAATACGCGTGCGGCGCAAGCGACGGTTCTTGGCGGTAATCTGGAGGAGGGTTTGTCGAAAACACATCACATCCCCTAGAATTGCGTTCATGTGAAGCACGAGAGGCGAGGTTGCAGATGGAGCCGGAGATGAAGGCCCAAACGCGACATGCAAATAAAAGTGGCAGGAGAGAAGAAAATGGTCCGATGGGAAGTCGCGATGTTGACACACTCGGCTCCTTCCTACAAAAAATAGTTTAGAAGCGGATTTGGGGGCCGTGTTACCAATGCTGTGGAGAGCAGCCAACAACCAACTGTCTCCTTGCTCTTTCCTTTTAAGCACTGTCGCATTTACAAAATTGGCATCAAGCCGCGTATGACACGGAAGGAGCGTATAGGGAAAGGAAGGAAGGAGGGAGGGCGAGGGTTGTGCAATCAAGACAGGAAAGAGACAAACGGGCATCGGACAATGTCCGTCCAGTTCCGGCGCCAATTAGTTGAAAACGCAAGCAATTAGGTAAAGCATAGACGTTACCTAGTATGGTAAGCGATAAGTGAACCAAATGACAATAAAACATGAGAAATGGCCGCTGACGGAAATACCATACATATTAAAGAGCATTAAGAGGCTCAGCTAAGGCCATGGAAGTAGCACAGCAAGCAAACAGCAAGAGTCGATGGACACGGAGACGGTCACGAGCCAGAACGTGGCATTCAGCCGACATATATCGAAAAAGAAGAGCGGGCCAGATGTCTTGGCCAGCTGGGCAGCTGTCCACAGCCATTTACGACGTCGTGCCGCGGCTCAAGAGATACTGGGAAGCGAGTTTATGTTGGCGGCTCCAAATGAACTGCCGTATTGAAGCGGCATCGTAGTTTTAAAAATAGAATCGAGCGCCGAGAAATGGAAAGAAGAAGAAGAGGGATAATAAAGCGATAGTGATTACGCAAGAGAGTGGACGACAAGGTGAGGGTATAAACGAACCAAGTGGAAGACAAGAGGAGCGTCTCTTACAGTGGAAATTTGAAAATTCAACCTATCGACGGAGGCGACAAGCAAAAGAAGGGTGTCCAAATTGAAGTAGATTGATATGCAATCATGATATTGATGAGGACAAGGTATAATTGGTAGCTGAAAATTAAAATTTCAAAGGAAGAAAGCAAGGCACCTGGTATCACCGAACGGACTCAAAAGCAACTCTGTATGAGCAGCTTGTCTAGAACTCAACTTTACAAGAACGTCTTGACCTGCTCTTCGTTCCACTTCCAGAACCGGGCAAGACCACCCGTGCCACCCTCGGACTCCGGCTTGGTGGACGAGACCAGAGACGGCTTGAGAGGGTAGAGGCGGCCGAAGGGAATGATCCAACCGCCGCTCTCCTTGAGAGTCACCTCGGGCGACGTCGACGCGAAGACCAAGGTGGACGCACCCAGAACAGGTGGGTAGCAGAGCGGCGTCACGGTGAAACGAAAGAGAGCGCTCATGTCGCGTGCCAGCTCCGTTTTCAGATTGCCTGGGTTCACGGGCAGACTGACAATGTTGTCCTGGCGATGGCGACGGGCGTACTCGACGCCCAGGGCCCAGACACCGGTCTTGCTGATGCCGTAGCGGACTATGGCCGTGGGCACACCGCCCTTGCCGGCCGGGTCGTAGGCAATATTGTCCAGTGCGACGCCCTCGCCCTCGACGCCTCTCGACTCGAGGCCGTACGATGACAGCCAGACGACGCGCACGGCGTTGGTGGCGGGCAGGCTGCGTTTGGCGGTGGCCTGCAGCAGCGGGGTGAGCAGCTCGGTGAACAAAAAGGTACCGACGCAGTTGACGCCCATGGTCAATTCATGGCCTTGGGCGGTGCGGCGCAGTGGGTCGGACCCCATGGCGCCGGCGTTGTTGTAGAGGACGTGCAGTGCCTTGGTCTCTTGGGCGAGGAACGTCTGGGCGGACTTTTTGACCTTGACCAGGTCGCTGAGGTCGAGCTCGAGGAAAATGAGCTCCCCTTTGGAATTGGGTCGTGATGTCTTGATGTCGTCCATGGCAGGTTGGACGCGCTCCAGAGACCGGCCGGCCATGTAGACCTTGGCGTTGCGCGCGTACAGGATGCGCGCCGTCTCCTTGCCCAGGCCGGAGTTCGCGCCGGTGACCAGGTGGACGCGACCCGACTGATCAGGCACGGTCGCCTCGACGAATGTCGGTTTGGGTGGGAAGAATTGCGTCCATGCGCGGGAGAAGTTGGAAGGTTCCGCCATGTTATGCGAAGGCGAGATGTCGGCAGTTGGGCAGGGTCAGCACTAAGAAGAACGGATCGTAGTATGGATCGTAGGGCAGTGGATCTATAGATATCTACAGCTTGGAATGTCAAACACGATCTAGATGAGGAAGAGGTAGACGTCCCGTCATGGCTCGACTGGGCACCGAAGGCCCTTTTATTCCTTCATCCTCTCCTCTTCTCAATGGCACGGGCATTCTGGTATCCGGGCACCCGGAAACTCTGGGAACTCTGGGAACTCCGTCCTTCAGTGATTCTATAGCAGGATGTTAGTCGGATCATACACAAAACGGTCAAGGATAGCTGTTGCCCTGGATTTCGAAACGGAGATATCGCCTTTCGTCCACCGATTGGCACGGCGGCGGCCCCACCTTTCCTTGACAAAGGGTAGGTCACCAGGGGTTGAGTTGTAAGGGAACCATACTATGTACATTTCTTCAGCTGTACGTATGGACGGTAAGTGAAGACGGGGTCTTTAAAAACCATCAAAACGTGTAGGTTTTCTGTAGACGCAGACTGAGCGCGTTTGGTATATCCCTGTTTGGGAACATTAACTCGTGGAAAGACCACCACAGTATTTAAAAACAAGGCGTTGCTTGATTCGAGCCCTTTCCAAATTTCGTAGAATCTTGAGCCGCGAAATATCTCAGCCTTGTGTGGTTTGAGTTTTGACCGGGCGAGTCCAGGCGAATGTTGTGCGTCCCATGTGTGAACAAAAGTATGGGGGACATCTACGCACAGTGTAAATAAATACAGCGCCGCTGTGCACTGTTTTTGTCTAAGCGCGCCCCAAAAGGTGTCTGTCGATTCTGCCGGGTTACACCGCCAGCAGGCCTTTCCTCAAAGGTCCTATTGCGAGCCCAACGGATACGAAAATATCTTACAACAACGCGACAGCTGTCGCCTTTTGTCCTGTATTGCACTGTACGCCAATAAACAGACTGCTGCTCGTTTTGCGCACCGCGAGCGTGCGAGCTTTTTCGCGCCTAGTTCGGCGTTGCGCGCAGCCCTCTCTGTAGCGGACGTCGGAACATGCTTTTCGTCTCCAGTAAAGCGGGGCCGTTCTCCTCCGAATTGCCGATCACCAGACAGAAGGGCTAATCCCTTAAAAGATTAGCGGTGAACGACTCGGGGCAAGTTGAGGTGTTGGAGGGGTACACTGGGGGGGTTGGCTGGTGGCTACCCTACAAATTTACACAGCTCTCTCCTGTCGCTGGCTAGTATTTACCCGCAACTACGGGCAACAGCGAAGCGGCGAGCTGTAGGAAAGCGCAACCCACGTCCTTGTGCCAGTGTAGAAATTTGTCGGTCCCTTAGAGAAGTCCAGGGGAAGGCGTATCCACAAGCAACAGCTGGCACATGGTATTGGAGGGAGGTGGGACGCCGGTGCCCCAGCTAACGGCGCAAAATATGGCGCAGCGCTTTTTCCATCCATCCACACATAAAGAATTTCGTCGTTCTCGGCGGCCTGCGTTTTCCTCCTTTTCGTCTCCTTTTTCTCTTCTCTCCACCTGCTTGTTCCTCAATTGTTCTTCTTCTTCGTCACTACCTCCACTCCTTCCAACTGCAATCATGTTCGCTGCCAGAATCCAGAGACGTGCCTTCTCGGCCTCTGCCCGTGATGTGAGTATTTTCTTGTTTTGTTTTTTACAGATAAAAACGAAATAGAAACGAACATCAACCAACTTCGTCGGTCTTGTGCCTCGGCCGAGCTTCCGTTGCGCCGGCGGTCGCAATGGCTTCACGGTCGATGGCCCTCACCAAGCGTAATCTCGTACTGACCCGTCTGTCTGCAACCAATAGCTCTCCAAGGTCACCGTCCTCGGCGCTGCCGGCGGCATTGGCCAGCCGCTTTCCCTGCTGCTGAAGCTCAACCCCCGTGTTACCGAGCTTGCTCTGTACGACATCCGCGGTGGCCCCGGTACGTTGTCTTGTCCTCCATTGTTAACGTGGACGCCTGGCGCGCACAAGTAACTAACATTCTGTCTCCTTTCCCTCCCCTCAGGTGTCGCTGCCGACATCTCACATGTCAACACCAAGTCGACCGTCAAGGGCTACGAGCCGACCGCCAGCGGCCTGTCGGCTGCCCTCAAAGGCTCCGAGGTCGTCCTGATCCCCGCCGGTGTTCCCCGCAAGCCCGGCATGACCCGTGACGACCTGTTCAACACCAACGCCAGCATCGTCCGCGACCTGGCCAAGGCTGTCGCCGAGTCGGCCCCGAACGCCAACGTCCTGGTCATTTCCAACCCCGTCAACTCCACCGTCCCCATCGTCAAGGAGGTCTTCAAGGCCCGCGGTGTCTACAACCCCAAGCGCCTGTTCGGTGTCACCACCCTCGACGTCGTCCGCGCCAGCCGCTTCGTCTCGGAGATCAAGGGCAGCGACCCCAAGGACGAGAACATCACCGTCGTCGGTGGCCACTCCGGTGTGACCATTGTCCCCCTCTTCAGCCAGAGCTCGCACCCCGAGCTGTCCTCCAACGCTGACCTGGTCAAGCGCGTCCAGTTCGGTGGTGACGAGGTCGTCCAGGCCAAAGACGGTGCCGGCTCCGCCACGCTGTCCATGGCCATGGCCGG